TTTCCACAGTAATCCCAGCACTGGCTCAAGGAGATTGTTTTTCAGCTGTTGACCTCCAAGATGCATATTTTCATGTTACTGTCTGCCCAGCACATAGGCAGTTCCTCAGATTTACACTTGAATGACCATTATCAATACACTCTATTTCCCTTTGGTATCTCCACAGTGCCATGAGTGTTTTCAAAGCTACTGGCAGTGGTAACCTGATAATCTTCCCATAAGCTGGCTGATTGTCTGCTGAAGTCTCCAACCCATTCTCATGCTCTTCATGCAACATCAATGACAATACAGTATTTCCAAAAGTTGGGCATACAAAGAAACAGAGACAAGTCAGTGTTAACACCTACCCCACAAATCCACTTTAGGCACCTTTCTCGACTCCACTGCTGGTCGAGCCTCACTGCCACAGGAAAGATTCAGAGCAATCTGCAATCTCAGACACTCCATTCACATCCGCCCATAGGACACAGGTAGTGACTGCTTCCAGCTACTGGGGCACATGGCAGCCTCTACCTTTGGTGTCACCAATGCCCGCCTGCACATGAGAGGCCTTTAAATCTGGCCATCTTCAGTATACAAACCAAAATGGTGCATACTTCTAAAGTACCTCACAATGCCTTCTACAAAGACACACTACTGTGGTGGACCATCCCACTACACATATGCAAAGGGGTTCCCGTCCCCCCTCACCCCTCTCTCCCATCACCATCACAACTAATGCATCCTGTCACAGAATATGGAGCACACATAGGACAAATCACTATGCAGGGACTATGGTCCACTTCCAAAACCACTTTCCACATCAACCTCCTTGAGCTCAGAGTTATACGCTACACCAGCCTCCACTGAGTCATAAACATATAAGAATGGGATTTTAAGTAGCACCTGAATTAATTCCAGTGAAAAAAGAACTGATTTGGCTTTTCAGCTTTTCTTTTTTCTGTTAAAATAGTGTGGTGTTAATTCTACACTGTGTTAATTCTATGTACATGACCCACACCTCAAATTATTTTTCACATCTAGAACACTTATGTGGAAGAGGTTGTACTGGAATATTTGCACTGCAGTGTGTAATAATTATTTGTAGTCTACAATGAAACAGTGACATTTGAACAAATTAATTTTAGTTCTTCTTAATGATTCTTATACTGTTTATTCTTATTTCCAGTGAAACTGGACAATAATCTTGGTTTAAAAATGAGTGTGTGTTTAATTTGGTAATTGGCATTTGAAATAGGGTGGACTATGCAAACTGGATTAATGCCAGTGTATATCTTAATTGCAGGATCCCCCTAAATCAGGGACTAGTTGCAGTTCTCGGTGTTCAAGTTCCAGACAGGATTCTGAGAGCACAAGGCCAGAATCGGAAACTGAAGATGGAGTGCCGCTCTACCTGCACCAGTGAGACAGATGTTGAAAACCCTCAAGTTAATCCATGTGTGAAAAAAGAATACAGAGATGACCCATTTCATCAGGTTGGTGTCCTTTAAGATTTTTGTTATCTAATGGAGTACTTGCTATCTGTAGTCCTAACAGCTTTATAAAGTGTTCAGGAATTAGAAGAGGGGGAGAGACACTTACATTATATGAAAAAAAACAGAAATTAAATGATGGATTAGTTGCAAAGATCTGATTTAAATCCTATAAACTATGGAAAATAGTATAATGGAAGATGTAGTCCAGCTAGGGAGCCTAGCCCATACGGGAAATATGGAGATCGTGAAGCACCAAAACTACAACTCTCGTAAGGTACCGCAGTATGCTGCAGTTCTAGTGAGCATAATTCAGTGCTCAACTAAGAGGGAAATCAATCATTTACATTCAGAATGTCAAAACACTTCCTAATTACATTTTTTGGAGCATTTTGTTCTACAAAAATTTCAGTATTTAAACTTTTTCATTGTGACTCAGGACAAAAACATATGTTGAAGTATCAGAATTTCTTTGGGATGGAATTCCAGTTTTTAATAATCTGTGCTGGGATTGTTTCTAAAGAAGGGAAGGGTTTCAGATGTTTGGCTTCAATATAATTGCCAAACATCTTTTTTTTTCTACTGTAGAAAAACCAATCCCTTGTGACATATCTTCTGGTTTATGTACTCAGTATTGTGTGTGTGTGTGCCTTTCATTTGTGTGAATCTTCTTCCATTGGTTATGTGTAAGATAGAAATATAACTATAAAAAATGTAAATACTGCTATACTATTCCTAAGCAATAATCATTCACTCATTTTTGAAAGTTGTGAACATTCACATGTCATTTAATCCTTCCTTGAACTATAGTAGAACACCAATAATATCTGTTTTAACACTTAATTTTGTGCCATGCTGTTTAGGAAAATCCTTCCAAGTGTCAAATAAGTGTACTACAGGCCTTAGAGTGCATATGATACCTTTAATCAAATTGCATACTTTTGTAATTTGATTAACTTCTTCTTTGAGTGGTCCCCATGGGTGCTTCACTCTGAGTGCTGGTGTGTCCTAGCGCTGGCGACCGGCGACTTTTTCTAGCAGTTTCTGCCACGCCACGCAGGTGCCATAGCGCCCTCTAGTGCTGTTGGAATTCTTGGGCGCGTGCATGGTGTGGCTCCTCAGTTCCTTCTCTACCGTCCTCAGCAGTAGACGGAGCCAACTGTTCTCCTTATTCCTGTTGAAAAAATAGTTCCTCATAATCCAAGTTTTTTAGCCCTCTTCTCTTCCCCTGTCAAGTTTAAGGGGGGAAAAAAGTCCTTGTTGCACTTTGCCGCTTTTCCCCAACCCCCTCATGCCCAGTTCCCCGGGTTTTAGGAGGTGAGAGTCATGTCGGGATGCCATGCCTGCTTCAGACAGGCACTCCAAATGTATTAAGTGCCTAGGGGAGGCGAACCAAACTCAAAAGTGCCCCTACTGTTCGAAATTAACAGCAAGGGCACGCCAAGACCAAGCTAACAGACTCAAGACGTTGTATGAGAAGTCCCTTCGCCCATCCTCGGAGGACTCTCCTACGCCTTCAAGATCAGCTCAGATGAGTAAAGGTATGGCAAAAAATCCTCCTTCTACCCACTCTGGCCCCGCAACTCTTCAAAAACTGGTCTACCCCCAAGCCCATTGCTACCCTCGGCGCCGGCGGCAGCACGGGTTAGCACTGAGGCCAGGCCTGGAACTTTGGGGGCAGCGTTGCCTAAGTCATGGGCACCGCACAAGAGAGCTCACTTTGAGCCAAGACAGAGATTGGCGGCACTGACTAGTATGGCACTGGAGGCACCCTTGGTGCTGACTGCACGGACAAGTTGCCACAAAGATTGGGCGAAGCACCATGTGAAACCGGCTCCTGGCCTGGTGCTGAAGAAGGCCCACACTGACATGCCACCGCCGAGTAGTTCGGCACCTGAACAACCCCCGGCACCGTCGTCACCACCATTACTTGCACCGGCCCCGGCACCACCTACACCATACCGTACGGCACTGACCGGAAGGCATGAATGACACTGATCCCCAGTCCAAAGCCGCATGTCATCGGCACCGCCTTCCCTGGGCTCCTCCATTTATTCAGTGAGGTCCCGCCGCTCTTCGGTCGTCTCTCGCTCCCCCAGTGATATCGGCACCAAATCACGGAGCAAATTTTCTTCGCGGCACTCTAGCCTGGAGCATAGACCTCCCTCCTGGCAGCCTGCTGTGGTTCAATACGCATACCCTCCTCCTCCACATCCATGGTATGCCAAGCAATACACCTACCCACCACCGCCATACACCACCCCATGGCAACCCTGGGAGCGGCGTTTGAAACGGGGCCACCATCGGGCGCCTTCTACCATTTCTAGGTCACCTCCTGCCTCGCCTGCCACCACGATCTCTTCCACCGAGCCGAACTCTCCAGCCCCCTCGGAAGCACATGACTCCCTCTCTCTGAAGGAGAGATTAGGTCACCACTTGATATCTCGTCTTCATCTCCAGACGAAGTGGTCACACCAGAAGCTGCACCATCTGGTGATGACATTAAGAAATTTCAAGACCTTTTGAAAAGGGTGGCTATAGTTCAACAAAGAGATCTCCAGAGAGTGCAGGAGAAACAATATTTCCTTCTCCGCACATTACAGCCTACAGCTACCTCCAGATTAGCTCTCCCAATGGATGAAGCTATCATGGACCTGGCCGATGACATCTGGCAAACTCCCGCATCCATCACCTCAACGAATAAAAGAGTATATCACAAATACTTCATTGCTCCTAAAAACATGGACTTCCTCTTTACTCACCCACTTCCGAATTCCTTAGTGGTGGATTTGGTACTACACAAGGGCAAACAACCCAATCTCAGGACCACTCCACAAGATAAGGACCATTAAAAGGTGGACATTATGGGGCGTAAAGTTTATTCATCGCCCACGCTACTTTTGAGAGTTGCGAATTACATAGCCATGCTCGCAGACTTTGACCACGCTAATTATTCAAAGCTACAGGATCTGCTCCAACACCTCCCAGAGCATAAGAGGCCGACCTTGTTAACATCATGCAAGAGGGTCACAACGTCTCTCGTACAGCCCTACAGTCCGCCATGGATGTAGCGGACACCGTAGCTCGCATGACTGCCTCCGCGATTGTCCTTTGCAGAACATCCTGGCTACAGGCATCTGGGGTACCCAGGGATCTGCAGCAAAAAGTTGAGGACCTACCTTTCTATCAAACCAACCTTTTTGCTGCAAAGACAGATGAAGTGCTGCATTCCATGAAGGACTCTCGCACAACTCTAAGGACACTGGGAATGTACACTCCCCCCTTCAAGAGAATTAGGTATAAGCCATACCAATGCCACAGAGATACCTTCAGGCATCAGCCCAGAAATGACTTCCGCCCAAGACAAAGACCGCAGCAGCATAGACCCCAATGGCAACACCAACAACACCTCACTACCCTTCCTCCGGCAAGCAAGCAGCAGGTTTGAAGGTCAGGTCGAGAGCCGCAAAGCCAATTGACCATTATCGCCAACTGACACCCCTCAGTTCCACCAACTCCTCCGGGCCTTTTTCCACCAATGGTCTCTCATCACTTTGGACAAATGGGTTCTGGAACTGATTCAATACGGTTATTCTATCCCATTTACCTCCATCCCTCCTACCCACTCTCCTACCCTGTCCCTTTTCAAGGACTCCTCTCACGAGGCCGTTTTGCAATAGGAGGTTGCATGTCGTCTTCAACTCGGCACAGTGGAACAAGTACCACTGCAATTCCAGGGCTGGGGTTTCTATTCAACCTACTTCCTACCCAGAGGAAGACGGGAGGGTGACGACCCATCTTAAACCTCAGGCGCCTCAACAAATACATGGCATACCACCATTTCAAGATGGTTACTCTAGCAACAGTCATTCCCGCTCTTGATCAAGGAGATTGGCTATTGGCTCTCGACCTCCAGGATGCCTATTTTCACATTATGGTTCATCCTGCTCACAGACGTTTCTTACGACTTACGGTAGGCAACCAACACTATCAATACCGGGTACTCCTGTTTGGCCTCTCAACTTTCCCCAGGGTGTTTTCCAAGACCTTAGCAGTCGTAATGGCATTGCTTCGGTGACAAGGGACCATAATATTCCCATGCTTGGACAACTGCCTTATAGAAAGCGTGTCTTTCCACGAAACCAAAACCATGAGACACAGCACAGTAGCCCTTCTCCTCCTCCTCGGTTTTCACATAAACTACACAAAATCCACCTTACTCCCAATGCAGAGGCTAAAATTTATAGGCACTCTCATCTACAGTCACGGCAAGGGCTACACTCCCCGACCACAGGTTTGCCACCATATGAGACCTGATCCGGTCGGCGCAGTCAACTCTGACCGTGATGGTCAGACACTGTCTCAAGATCCTTGGGCATATGGCTTCCACGACCTATGTTGTCACCTTGGCCAGGCTCCACATGAGAGCTCTTCAGTCTTGGCTCGTGACAGTTTACAAACCCTCGAGAGATCAACTTTCCAAGCTTGTCACTATCCCACCATGCATTCTCAGCTCCCTGCTTTGGTGGACAATTCTATACAACATGCTGCAAAGCGTTCCCTTTCAGAGTCCTCGTCCCCATCCCCCATCCTCCCCATACTCACAGTTGTAGCAGACACCTCGCTTATGGGATGGGGAGCCCATTTAGAAAACATCACAGTCCAGGGCAAATGGGCTTTCCCGGAACAAACCTTCTATATCAACCTCCTCGAATTACGAGTGGTCAGATATGCGTGCCAACACTTCAAACAGTATATAATGCACAAGTCCTTTACCATCACGACAGACAACACTACCTGCATGTACTACATCAACCAATAAGGGGAGGCTCGATCCCCTTCCCTCCTTTGGGAAGCTATCAAGTTCTGGAACTGGTGTCTCACACACCGAATCACTCTGTTTGCTGTTTACCTCCCAGGCATCCTCAGTATCACAGCGGATGCCCTAAGTCGAACATTCCAAGATCAGCACGAGTGGGAGCTTGACAGACATGCCCTAACCCTATTATTCTTTCGGTGTTAACCAGACATAGACCTCTTTGCTACAAAGAACAACAGGAAATGTCATCTGTATTGCTCCAGAGGAGCCCTGGGAAAACATTCCCTCAGAGACGTCTTTTCTATCACATGGGATGCCCCTCTCCTCTACGCATTTCCTCCCTTCCCGCTTCTACATAGAGTCCTCAACAAGATAAGGACAGACCAAGCGCGGGTCATACTAGTGGCCCCCGCATGGCCCAGACAGACATGGTACCCTTACCTTCTCAAGATGATGATGACAGACCCGTATCCCTTCCGTCTCCATCACGACCTCCTGTCGCAGAATCATGGCAGGACTCTCCATCCAGTCCTTGTCAAGCTTCACCTCCACACCTGGCTCCTTCATAGCTCCAGGATGCGGAGATTACCTGCTCGGAACAGGTGAAGGACATACTGAAAAACAATAGAAGACATTCTATCAGAAGAGCTTACTTATACAAATGGAAGCGATTCTCTCACTGGTATAGTTGGCTGTATGCAACTCCTCCACAGTCTGCCTCTTTACCTACCTTACTGGACTACCTGTTATCCTTCAAGCAGTCAGGCCTTGCACTCAGCAGTGTCAAGGTCCACGCTGCCACTATAGCGGCTTTTCATCATTCTACGGATGGCGTGTCATTCCTCGCTAACCCATTGACCAAACGCTTCTTTAAAGGCCTACAGAACACCTTCCTGCCGGTCCGTCCACCGGTCCCCATCTGGGATTTGAATCACGTTCTAAAAAGCTTGACAAAGCCTCTATTTGAACTGCTGGCTACCTGTTCTTGGTCTCACTTATCCATGAAGGTGTCCTTCCTCATCACAATTACCTCCAGCAAGAGGGTGAGCAAACTGGCGGCCTTGATGGCCGACCCACCATATACTGTATTTACAAAGGACAGAGTAATACTCTAACCCCACCCAAAATTTCTCCCCAAATTACCTTCACCTTTCCACATGAATGAACATATACACTTACCTGCCTTCTTTCCGAACCCTCATGCTGACCTAATCCAGGCAGCATGGCACACTTTAGACGTCCAACGTGCACTGGCGTTTTATGTTAACCCCACGAAACCATGGTGAGCCTCACCTAGGCTTTTCATCTCCTACGCCGAAAGATCTAGGGGACAAGTGGTCTCATCTCAGAGAACCTTGAAATGGATTACTTTCTCCGTTCGAATTTGTTATACCTTATACAACAAACACTTACCTGAGAGCATCACGGCTCACTCCACCAGAGCTGTGGCTTCCACAACTGCCTTCCTTCAGAATTTTCCACTCCAAGACATTTGTGACGCTGCCACCTGGTCATCCGACCACACCTTTGTGCAGCATTATGCACTCTCTTCTTCTATAGCATCATCCATGGCGGTGGGACACGCAGTGTTGTCCACAGTGACTACCACATGGCTCCGTGAGCTGACAACTGCTCTGTAGTCACCCAGAGTGGAGCACCCACAGGGAACACTTGAAGGAAAAGAAAGAGTTACTCACCTTGGTGCAATAACGGTGCTGCTACGAGATGGGTCCTTGTGGGTGCTCCACTACCCTCCCTCCCTCCTTCCCCTGCTTTGGAGCCTTGTACTCTAGCGTGTAGAGAAGGAATGGAGGAGCCGCGCACACACGCGCCCAAGAATTCCAATGGCACTAGAGGGTGCTATAGTGCCTGCGTGGTGCGGCAGAAACTGCTAGAAAAAGTCTCCGGTCGCCGGTGTGAGGACGCACCAGCACCCAGAGTGGAGTACCCATAGGGACCCATCTCAAAGAAGCACCGTTAGTGCACCAAGGTGAGTAACTCTTTCTTTTCCCATTTAACCATGAGAAAATGAGAATGTTTTTACTTAAACATTGCTCTTGTTATACATACTACATTAATCAGATATCTGTTGCACATTATTTCTTAGTAATAATGTGTATTATTTGTTATTGGATTGTTTCCTTTAACTAGTTCTTGATACCTTGAATCATACAAGGGAGAAAATTGAATTTTGGCATTTAACTTGCTTCTGATTCTGCAGAGCTTTATTGTATTATATTTTTAGATTAATTTTTTGTTTTAAGGTCAGTTATCTATTAATAGATAAGAGTAAGACAGTTGTAGCATTCATGAATCACTGATGGAACACGATCATCAGAATGATTATGCTTTATTACTGCAATGCAGACTTTAGAAACTAATCTTTGAATTAGACACCGTTCAAACAGGGCTTTTTAGAGACCTTCTTAGTTTACATATGGGCTGTAAATTAAAATTACATACATACACATGAATATTTGGAAAATATGGGCATTAAAAGTGTTTTTAAAATTAATCAGTTTCTAAAATATATACTCTGTTTTTGTACCTATTAATATTATAATTTTGGTGCATGTATGATTTGTGTATACTTTCTAGAGTTATTTTTTTAAAAAAATCAGCAGTTATGTTGTTAGAAATTTTAAAAAACCATGAAAATATGGCTTCTGAAAAGAATAGCTTTCTAATATAAACTGAATATATTAATTTACATATTTGTGCTAAACATAGGGATTTCATTTTAGCTTTCAGTTTTACTGTTTACTATCTTCTGTTCTGTTTATAGTTGCACTTCACTTATTTTATTCTTGATAAGAAATTTAAGCAAACTTACAGTAGAATGGTATTAGACCAGATATGCTGCCTTTGATTTTCTGCAGATGTTTAATTGTACATTTAAAAAAAAAAAATGCTCTTGAGTGTTTTTATGCCTTGAAAGGAAAATCCTTTATATTGTTTTAAAATTCCACTCTACTTTGTCCCTGCAACTAACCAAATGTAACGATTGTTTTAGTAATTTAGTTTCACAAATCCATTAAAATGGGGTCACAACCCACTTTGGGGTCTTGACCCACAGGTTGATAACTGGCACACATGAAAGCTCTTCACAACTATATTCAAGATATGGTCTGCTGTAATTTCTTTTGTCAGCCAAAAGTATTGACAGTGAAGTAAATCTTGTTGGTGAACCATACAATACTTATTATTTACAAATGAATATCTTTGCTTTCTATAGAGTCATTTGCCGTGGCTCCATAGTTCCAATCCAGGACTAGAAAAAGTAAGCGCTATTGTATGGGAGGGTAATGATTGCAAGAAGGCTGATATGTCAGTGCTTGAAATCAGCGGCATGATAATGAACAGAGTGAGTATTCTTTTATTTTTACTTCGTGCAAACTATAATTAGCACTCAGTATTTATCCAAAGTTGGTCAGATTTTCTCTGACAACCTTCAGCAAATATCGTTAGCAGTCTTCCTTGATAAGATCTTATTTTGATTCTCATTTTGTTACCAACAGTGGTTAAAAGAGTTACTGAATCTCAGATCTTAAAACTGCATTTTAAATTTGAATGACTATAGATCCATAGAGTGAGCTAAATTGTTACTTTTATTGGATTTATTTTCAGGCTATAGAACATTTTATGAACATCACCATTGGTTCCCAACTCTTGGGAACAAACAGTATCACTTCTGGATTTTATATATAAGATATAGTCATACATATAAGTATCTGAAAACTATAGTTCAGGTTAGAAAAAATGTGCATACTTCAAGAAATAAATATTTAAGGAAATGGATGCTATGTCTGCACCAAAATGTTTCCAAATAAAATTATCTTACTGATATGACCCCATTTCCAAAGGTAAGTCAATTATTTTTGTCAAGGTCCAGATTTCTTCATGAGGGTATAGTCAAGGCTCAGATTCCAAGGAAAAAAAAAAAAGATAATAAATAAATAAAAAGTTGTGGAATTCGTTCAGAAGCATGCGGTAGTCCACATTTGGCCTGTTGACTACCCGTCCCATATGCTGTACCAGTAGAACTGATATGGATGCTAGCAGAGAAAAAAAATAGACTTCAGTAGCAAATCCAGATAAACAAAAGCTTAGCTAAAGAGAACCATCATTAGTTTTAGAAATAATGAGAGTTTTATCCTCTGTGGATGAACAGTTAGAGGACAGTACAGTTACAGGTTAGTTCAGTCACATTTGCCTTAGCCATAGAGATAGCATAGTCATCAATTATTCATTTATTTTGTAGTAAAACCCAAAGATCCAGACAGGATTGGGATTCCATGGTGCTAGGTATTCTACAAATATTTAGAAGATGATGTCCCTGCAACGAATGTAAAACCTAAAAAGACAAAGATGCAGGGAAGGAGAACAAGATACATTTAAGCAAAGGAATGAGGATAATTGGCACATATATTATTTAAGTGTTGTCTAATTTTTTTTATAAAATTACCCAGCTACCCCATGGCCTGTCCTTACAAAAATAACAATTTATAGGCTTAATTTATTTACTTAGTTAGTACACACTGAAAATAAAGTATTTTCACCTGCTTCTATAGCTACCTATCCATCCTCAACTTCAGTTTCATAGTCATTTTATATATTCAAAGAGATATATAGTTTCTGTAACAGTAAATTTTTGAAAGTGTTTATAAAATAAATATTTTACATCTTGTATGGCTTTTTTTTTTTTAAAAACCATCATTGTTAAACTGAAATAATAACTAAGTTATTGACATTAACAGGCACGAGGTTAATTCTGGATAATTTTATATCTTCCATTTTTAGGTGAACAGCTACACACCAGGAATAGGATACCAGATTTTTGGAAATGTAATCTCTTTAATCCTGGGTTTCACACCATTTATATTTCGACTTTCCCAAACTAAAGATTTGGAACAGCTAGCTACACATTCTGCCTCTGAACTTTGTGTTATTGCATTTGGGTCAAATGGAGACATACTAGTTCTTTCTATGGTTATAATAAGTTTTGTAGTCCGTGTGTCCCTTGTATGGATTTTCTTTTTTTTGCTATGTGTAGCAGAGAGAACATATAAACAGGTAAATATAATATCAAGCCTCTCATTGTTGTGTTCCTTCATGGAAGGAAAAGTATGGAATGAACCTCTCTAGTCTTGCACCCTCAGGGCCCGGCCTGGTGCTGAACTAGTGAATTTGTCCAAGTTGTCATTGTTGCCTAGCAGCATTACCAACACTTCCACTGTTTACTGGGCTCTTAAAAGACATTTAGGGGCAAATTCTAGCTAAATAACTGCCCAGAATACTGAGAGCCAAGACTAGTGGCTGTAAACAAACTTTATGGGGCTATGGGAAACCTGGCCACACCCATGATAAGTGGATATCTGGCTAACCAACATCATGCTGGACCATGGATGTTACCAGAGCAAAAAGTGCTAGACTGAAGAGGGTTCAACCTATATTATGCTTAATGAGTTTTGTTGGTTCTCAATAATTTAAACTGTTTCTTCTTGGTGCTAAGATCCACAGATCCATTGCATTGGACACTTCAGTTTGCTTATTTTGGTGGCAGAACCAGACCTGATAGTCACTGGCAGAAGGGAAACACCTATGCCTTTGAAATTTCCTCTAGTTTTTATCAGTCTCCCTTACAACCAATGTCTCAGTAAGACATCCCTGCTATAGAGTTTTGTCCTAGGGAATCTTTCACTTTTTATTTCAAATTCATGATTAATACGTTAGCTCAATAATTTGCCCAACAAATTCTTAACCATGCTGAATCTCTCTCAACTCTCCTATACTCTATATAGGAAATGACCCAGGCAGGATTGGAATATCCTATGTCCATTGACAAGCAGTTCTTCCTACCTTATTTCCACAACGGGAGTGATTCCAGATGGACAGCAATCCAGATGGAAAATAGTGGCTAATCTTTAGAACCCACATCATCAGCCCACTCCTGACTTTAGAATTCAGATGTCTTCTCCTCTTCTGCCTCCCCTCGGGCAGTGTATGGAGGACACTGACTATAGTACAGACACTTCCAACATCAGATAGTGCAGGCCCAGCTTCCTCTCCCTGCTGTCACCACAACAACAGGCCTCCCAGGGGATCCCTAATGATATACCATGTTGGGACTATCAGGGGAAATGTAGAACCATTGTCCTTTATAGCTTCCATGCAGTAGATATGATTAGAGCCTCTGGAGTGTCGTTTCTTGATACTCCGGTACCTTATCTGAGAGATCCAGAAACGATCTGTCCCACGGGGACAAGACAATTAGCTCTGCTCCTTTGAAGACAGATTGCCAGCCACTTGGAAATTTTTTTGGAAGTGTCTGAATTTGTTTTCTCTACGAAGGAGCATCAATGGGGCCAGATTTCCAAATGGAATGTAAATAATTGATATCAGCTCTGGTTCCCCTGTTCAGCTTCATAGACAATGAGTAGGCAGAAAAAGACCAAACCACAGACTTGTGAGGAGGGAGGGGGAGGGAGAGATGGAGGAAGAGAGAGAGGGAGAGGGCATGAGTGTGAGATTTTTCGTTAAGGAATGAAGGCCCTCTATCCATATTAGAGTTAAGGGATTAAATAATAAAATTATATATTTTAAAAAGATTGATTATCTTTCAGGCAGAATACTAAATTCTGCAATGAAAGCTCATGAGCCTATATATTTGTTAGCCTCTAAGGTGCCACAGGACTACTCGTTGTTTTATAATTAGAAGGTTTTTGGCTGACGTATACAAGCTATAACTACTTTTCACTCCTATGCTTCCTAGGAAGATGCTCTAATAGAGGGGTAGATATTTCCTACCACACCTAAGGGTGCATCTACACAGTGGTGCTAGCTCGAAATAAGCTATGCAATTTGAGCTATGCAAATTGCGTAATTTTTATTTCAAGCTTATTTTAGATAGTGTCAAACATTTTGCAACGGACCACTATTCCAACAAATCCCTTAATTCTTGTGGAATGAGGTTTACCAGGATGTCTGAATAGCAAGCCTATTATTTTGATTGTATTTAAAGGGCATGCTGTTAAGACGTGGAAAAAGCTATTTCGGGATACAACATTATGCTGAAATCGTGCCCGCTGTCTGGACGTACCCAAAGGCTGTGGGAAAAGTAGCCTTTTTCCGAAAAAACTTCCCCTGCGTCCAGACTCAAGCCGCGTTCTTTCGAAATTAAATCGAAAGAACGCGGCTTTTCTTTCGATGGCGGTAAACCTCATTTCACGAGGAAGAACGCCTTCTTTCGAAAGTTCCTCTTTTGAAAGAAGGCGTTCTTCAATATAAATAGGGCTTCTTCGAAAGAGAGCATCCAGACTTGCTGGATGCTTTCCTTCGAAAAAGTAAGCCGCTTTTTTGAAAGTTCAACGTGCAGTCTAGACGCTCTCTTTCGAAAGAGGCTTGCAGTCTAGACATAGCCAAAGAGACTAGCTATTGGTCACCTACTCCTTACCAGGTTGTTTTGCACAGTTATCACAGTGATGGCTGGGTTGCCATTCTTAAAGATCTTATCTGTCCATGTGGATCCCAGTACACAGGAATAGACATCTTTTAATTAGAATGGCAAATGGATTTTGCATGCTATTATGCTTATTACCTCCACTAAATACCCCCTCTGGCATAAAGAGTGGAGCTGGATCCAAACTACAACTTAGTTCCCTCTTACACTGGTGACAGTGAGATCAACCATAGTTGTTTCCTTAACTACTGTAGTCTCTGAGTAGATATATAGTTAGTATAGTTACTATACTTTTTCTTTATTTTTCACATTCCTATTGTTCAAGTATATAGATCTTTCTCTGTGTGCATGAGAGAGAGAGGAAGTTAGGTTATTTTTATTTAGCTACCCCAGCATTAGATCTAGCGGTACTGTGGCTGATTGAAAATCTCCAGGGTTTAAAAGCCGTCTGTCGTGTAACACAGCTATTCCATTAAATGATGGACACAATAAGAGCCGTTTTTTTCCTCTGGGAAAAGTCTATAAGTCCACAAAGTATGTGAATTTTGTAAGTCTTTTTCAGAATGCATCCCAAAAGCTAGAGAGCTGTGTTTTAAAATTCTTCCTAAAGGGAAAATCAACAAGATGTGCATTGTTCTTTGTAGTCTTCTCAAGGGAAGAAGCCCCTGCTTCTTTGGAATCTCTCTAAGCACGTGTTTCAAAATGACTCATTATGATATTACCAAAATGTTTGGGGTTCTATTAGTTTTGTTTTTTGTGTGTATGGTCAAAACTATGCTGTAAATGTGATATGAATTTGTAAATACTTTTGATTGACCAAAACTGCATTTTTCTGCAAATAAACTTTTGCCTAGCTCTACTTATTATGGAGATGTGTAAAATACAAATTTTCAGTTAAACACAGTTACATTTTTCTATTTTGTAGCATTAATGGACTCATAATTTATTCACATTACAGTAAATTTGTTTGTCTCTCTTAGAGGCTTCTTTTTGCCAAACTCTTTGGTCATTTAACATCTGCTAGAAGGGCAAGAAAATCAGAGATTCCTCACTTCCGGTTGAAGAAAGTGCAAAATATAAAAATGTGGCTCTCTCTCCGGTCCTACCTAAAGGTAAAATGCCAATATTTTTTCCTGTCACTCTTACACTGTTAATATAAATTCATGTCCCATTATTGGAAAGCTGATGATATTGTTGCTCTGAGATCTGCTGTTCTCTGCATTGCTAATATAAAAAAAAATATTTTCATTTCTTTCGTCATCCATGACATTTGAGTTTGCACCTCTTTTAAAAGCTGCCAACTGTCTTAATTTGTTTTTCCTCTTAGACTTCTTCCCATGAGATCTTACCTACCAGTTCCCTTAGTTTGCTCAAGTCAGCCTTCTTGAAATCCATTGTCTTTATTTTGCTATTTTCCCACCTACCATTCCTTAAAGTCATGAATACTATTATTTCTATCCATAAATTCGATCGTACTCCAGTAGCAGATTTTATTGTAGTGATGCTTCCTTCATATTGATAAGATTCTGGTACAGGTTGGACCCCTAAACTAGGACTCTCTCGTCCAGCAATACGGTAGCGGGACTGGGGAAACAGCAGCCCAGTATGCTGGGGATGCAGCAGCTCGGCAGCCTGGTAGGGAGTACCTGGGGCCGGCAGCGCAAAAGGTTGGGGGGCTGGTAGCATGGGACCTTTCCATGTCAAGATAAACTCCCTCGTTCAGGACTGGTAGTGCTACCAGACAACATTGGCCTCCTGTGGTTCAGCAAATTCTCTGGTTTGGCACCAGTCAGATACCGAGGGAGCCAGACCAGAGGGGTCCAACCTGTAGTGATTTTCCAGAGTGTTGTGAAATCAGATGTCTTCCATCTTTAGCTGCAGCTTTAGTTTCCAGCAAAACTCTAGGGATTGCCTGAGCCCTAGAGTCTCATGGAAAAGACCAAACTGCCTCCAGTCTTTGCAGGAAGTCAACTGTAGTCTGATTGTTTGGAGAAGAGATTAGTCCCAGTAGAAAATGTCAAGTAGCAAATATTCTGTTTCGTCTTGTTAATGAAATAAACTTTATTTTCTAAGATACTTAAAAAGGTAGAATTCATAGACCTGTCAACTTTGCTATATCCTTGACTGCTAATTTTATTGGACAGATACTGTTGTTAAAAATTCATTTTTTTTCCCTGAAAGGGAAGGAGGTCTTCCACTTTTTTTGGTGATCCTGAAACAGTCTTTTTCTCTTTGTTTCCACCAACCTTCCATTTGAGAGAGGTCAGTCCAGGACTAAATTCTGAACCCTTTCAACATCACTTTCTTAAAGAGGAGTGGTCAACATAAAAATTTGTAAACACATTTTTTTACCCATCTGATTAATATTTTTAAAGTATTTAGTATTTTGTGAAAGTTTTGAACTACAGTTCACTTGATAATTCTTATTCTATTTATTTCTCTCATGAGACAATAAAAATCAGAAAAATCAGTTTCACTTTATGTGATCGCTTACTCAGCACAGCGATATTTGTGTTTAAACACTGCAATAAAAAAGGAAAGCCTTACTTACTAGGACCACCTGTCTATTATATTAAGCACTCCTTTCATCATATGTCAGGCTACGTTTTAGTTACATATATTTTTAGTAAAAGTAATGGACAAATCACGGTCAGTAAAAAAATTAAAAATCTCAGTCCATACCCTGTCCCATGACACATACTGTATATGATGGAGGGAGGTGATCCAGTGCCCCATAGATGCTGGGGGGCACAGGTGGCAGCATGCGTCTTGGAAGCCCAGCTGGTTCTGGATGGAATGTTTATGTTGGTGGCTCTTGCAGGCTCCCTACCCAGCTCCTCAGAAGCGATTACATGTCCCTCCCTCAGCTCCTACTTCCATGCACTGCCTCTGTCCCAAGTGCTGCTTCCAGAACTCCCATTGGCTAGGAACCATGGCCTATGAGAGCTTCAGGTGCAGTGCCTGTGGGTGGAGACAACCTATAGAGCTAGGAGCTGAGGGAGGGACGTTTTGCCACTTCCAGGGAGCTCACAAGGTAAGCAGCACTGATAGCCCTCGCTCTCTCCTGCACCCCACTTCCCCGTCCCCTTCCACACCCAAGCTGCTGCTGCTGTGGGAGGAGGTAAGGTGGCCCAAGGTTATTCCAGACCTGGCCCAGGGGCTGACTTAGCTGCTCTGGTGACTCCATAACCAGCTGCTGCAGATGTTACAGTCCTGGAACGTTCAAGAATCTGTGACTTCCCTGCCAAACTCAAAGCCTTAATTATGTGTCATGATCAGAGGTTTGGTAAATTAGTGGAAATTCATTATCATCCTGGACAATTATACTTTGTTCTCACCCTGTAACTATTATAGCATAATTCACAAATTCTCCTCACCTCATCGTATTCTCTCTCAGCATACTCCTAAGAATAGGAGAGCCTCACTATGTGTCTGGAAGATTAACTAGTTTGGATGCTGGAAGACCATAGCTGAGTGGCCCTCACAGAGTGTGCTTTTCTGGAAGCTCTTCCTCATCTCTGTCAAGGGAGCTCCATTTCAAGCAACTCTGTTGATCAAAACTCTGGTAGTATGGAATAATAAGAGGCAATCTTTGAAATGTTATTGGGCCAAAATCATATAGGAATACTTTAAAGGTCAAAATAAAATTCAGTTCAGTCTGGAAGCCAAGAGCCACTGGTGTAATCAGATGTGATGTTATCAGACACTCTAACTTTAGCTTTGAATGGTCACAAGTTATTTCCTAAGCAGAGTACCTTCCAGTCATTTAAAGAAGTTATTTAAAAGAAAAAAAAATAACATTATTTTTCGTAGAGCTGTAGACTATTTATAAAACCACATTCAGCCTATCGGGAGCCAGAATTTTGTTTTACTATATATGCAATTCATTTGTCTCCAGTATTCGTTGATGTAACAGGTTAAACTGTACACTACATTGTAGTCCAAAAACAATTTGTCAGTTATCCTCCCATGCATTTTTGTAGATGAATGTATTGCTTTCTGAAACCACTGCCAGAAGCCATGAAGAAGATACACACACACACCACACACACACACACACACACACACACACGTTTTGTTGTAAAGATTTCCGTTTTGTTAAAGTACTTCATTTTTTTTATTTGAACAATTCTGTTGCAGAACCTCTGAGTCAATTCTACCATGTGCAAACTGGGGTTATATAATCTGGGAGTTATGAAGCAAAGCAAGTTACTACCTTGGTGCAGCTTGTATGTTCTGGTGTGATTCAAGACTTTTAGATTTTTTTTTTAATGTAATTCGTGTGTGGAATTTTGTTTTCCCTTATTTTGTTTTTTCCATGGCTGTTATGCATGCACCAGTATACCCTGCTTTGTGCTAGGGCAAGCTGTGCTTGGTGTTCACTTAGAGCATTATCCAGAAAAAGATTGGAGTTATTGGATTCAGGAGACATTATACGTCTTGTTTGTTCAGGTTCTTAGAATGTCCCAAATAAGTAAATATAATGCCTCACAATCAAAAACTCATCTTTTCATCCTCATGCAACAGAGAATTAAAATTTTCAGAAGGGTAAACGAAGATGGGAAGTTAAAATGAATGTATGTTGATAATGTGTCCTCTTCCCCCCCCCCGCCTTAAGAATTGAGAATCCTCTGCTGGATAGAAAAATGTATTACAAGCTTTTTGCACTGATGCATGTAGGAGGCATCTTGGTTACCGTGGTCTGTATCCCAGCTCTCCTGTCAACAACCCAAGTTTAGTTCATTGCTGTGGTCTTAGACAGAATATATTTTCCATTTATAGGACAGTTAGGGAAGACAATTGCCATAGAAACAACTTTTGATCACTGAGGAACTGAACCAAAACAGTTTTATAGTCTGTTTACAATTTCCCTGAGCCACCTACTTCCACTTTTATCTTCATTGGTGATGCAGTCTCAGGGAATATTGATGTGTAATTACACTGTAAAATTAAAATAAAACATTTTGTTTTTAAAGTTCTAGATTATGCTACTGTCAGCCACAATCAGCCTTTGCTGGGGGTGTGAACTAGAGATGTTAAATATCAGTTAATTGAAATGTCGAGTAACCTTATGAATTCTTATCGGTCAGTTGACTATTCTGTAGTCCCTGGGCGCGGGGCCAGCAGCAGCGCAGGGTTCCAGGCGGCAGTTAGTCCGTGAGAGTAGCCAGTTAAATTGTGAACCAGCTGCTTGTTGCCCTGTGCTGTTGCCTCTGATAAAGACACAGCAGTGTGGGGTAGCAGCAGCCTCCATCTGCGGGGGAACGGGGTCTAAGCTCCTGGACCTGGCATGAACTGAAACTGAGCTGGGCTGGCTGCCTGCCCACCTGACTCCCAATACACTTGAAATGAAGAGTCACAGCAGGGGTAGGTCCCGTACCCGGCGTGAGCCAGAGCTGAGCTGGGCTGTTGGCCAGCCTGCTAAAAAAATTTACTGGTTGGAGGAAGGAGAGGGAAATGCATATAGTCTGTAGCATAAACCTATAAGCTTTTGTGTGTCAGTTTATACAGTTAGTCGACTACATTACTACATCCCTAGTGTGAACCTGACTAGATCTACCAAGTTTTCTTGATCAATGACTTTCACTCAATATTTCCTTTATTTTCAGCGTCGAGGTCCTCAACGGTCAGTCGATGTAATCGTTTCATCTGCCTTCTTATTGACAATCTCAGTTGTATTTACCTGCTGTGCTCAGGTGAGGATACCTCATTTATGTAGACACAGCCAACACTTTTGAATATTTTTAAAATGTTTCACTTTATAAGTAAGTCTTCCAGAGTGGTAGATATACAGTGAAACAAACATACATGGTTAGTGTCTTTTCACAAGATTATAGTTTCTATAATCTATTATTCAGTTTATCCATTTTAGAAATTTAACCACCAATGTATAGCTAAAGTGTATTCTACCTAGAGTATAAATTAAAAGTAAATTAACTTATGACATTATTTTCACATATTACAGTTCTTTTCATTCATGTTCCTCATGAATATTGGAGCTTAGTGATTTTCAGGACACCACTTATTAAAAACCTGCTTTTGCAGGCACTTGTGTAATGACATTAATTTAGGGATGTTAAATATTGATTAATTGAATAGTCGATTAACTTCATGAATTCTTCTCAGTTACTCTATAGTCCCTGGGGGTGGGGCTGTCAGCCAGTGCAATCCAGCCCCACTCCCGCATAGACTGACTGCCAAGCTCCCCTCATAGACTGGCTGCTGGCTGCCTGTCGCCCCACACTGTTGCCTCTGATACAGCAGTGGCAGCATGGGGTGACAGCAGCCTCTGTCCGGGGTTGTGTTTCTGATCTCACAGACTCGGTGTGAGCCGGAACTAGGCCAGGCTGCCTCCCCACATGGCTCCTAATACACTTTAAATGCAGAGCCACAGAGGTGTAGATCCTGGACCTACTTCAAATCACGACTGAGCCGTGCTGCTGGCCAGCCTGCTAAAAATTTACTGGGGGGGAGGGAATGCGTGTAGTCTATAGCATTAACCTATGAGCTTTTGCTTATTGGCTAATCAACTATACCATTACATGCCTAGATTAATCCGGAGGGGGTAATTGGTGATTTTAGAAGTATCATATGGTAACTGGGCTCTCACCTATTAGTGGCCAAAACTAATAATATCTACATTATTTGCATTCCAAGTGTTTGTATACTATCTCTTATTCATTTTCTTCTGTTCTCATACATTTCCATCCTGGTTTCTGTAAAAAATAGGAAATGCCATGTTGGTCCCAGGACATTAGACACACAAGATGTGGTAATATTTTTAATAAGTCTGGCTTGTGTTGGTGAGAGCTTAAAAAGAAGGAAAAATTTCATTGTTTAGTATTAGCCTGCCCTCTAGTGGAATATAATTTCACTGCCTTTTCCTGGTATATAGTGTAACTAAGGCTACAATTTTGGTGTAGAAACTTACAGAAAATTTCATGGCAGAGGTGCAAGGAAAAAACGATAAATTATGGAAAGGTCATTTGTGGTAGTCTGTCTGGCTTTCTTGGAGGCCTTGCTATTCTTTGCCTGCTCCTTAACTTATTCTCCCTGCTGGTGTACCTGAGGCTGCCGGGTTGATGCACTGTCCCTTTTCCTGGATTCATATGGTCCATAGCACCTAGAGCAGAGGTGGGCAAATTCCACCCCATGGGTCAGATCCGGTCCTCAGAGTTAGTCTTGGTGGCCCCCCACCTCCATAGCAGCCCTGGCCCTTCAGGGACTAGTCCTGCAGGCTTCCATTTTTGTATTGCTCATCCCTGACCTAGCGAGAGGTACTACTGTGGTTTTGGCCACTAATAGGTGAGAGCCCAGTTACCAGCACATGGGATGACATATAGTGGGACCTGGCAGCTGAACAGTTGGATCAGGCCAATGCACATTCTCCTTGCAGGCTAGTTTTTAAAAGGGGTGTGTGGGAAAGAGGACAGGGATTCTGTGGGCTCTCCACCCCTCTTGTCTCTGGCACCTGTGGAGTTGGATTCCCATAGGACAGGCTTGTCCAGCTTTTATTTAGGTGCATGATTATCAAGAATGCTATAAGCGCCATGCCAAAATATTAGCGTTAATCATAAATATTTTAATATAATTATAATTTTAAGTTTAGCAACCGTATTTTGATTACACTTTCTATTTAATCCAATTTAAGTATATTGCTGTTTTGAAGCCATTGCAATAACTTTGAGTTCAAACCTCTTTCTTCTGGGTTGCTGTTTGTTTTGTTTTGTTTTTCCCTTCACTTATATGCAAAAGAGAACAAAGCTTCCTAACTTCCTCTTAAGCCTTTATATGAAAACCTGTCTTTGCTAATAGAATGTTGATTCTGAAATATAAAAAGTCAAGTAAAAGTAAAAAACAGGGCCACACTTTTTACAAGAAAATAAATCTTTGAACTTACTGTAGCTTTAACTTACTTTGAAGTTCAATAACGCTTAATTTTGCTTTTTTTCTTTACTTTCAGTTGCTTCATGTGCATGAGATCTTCCTTGATTGTCACTACAATTGGGAACTAGTGATTTGGTGCATTTCATTAACTCTCTTTCTCCTAAGATTTGTTACACTTGGATCTGAAACAAGTAAAAAATACAGCAATACCTCAATATTACTTACTGAGCAGGTGAGAATGTACATAGATGTACACATTTCACTTTCCACATGTCTTCATTCTGAGAGTCCATTGGCCATAGACTTTAAACAGCACCAAATTCAATGAAATCCTGGTATTAGACACATTTAACATGATGCTCAATTCCCACATTTTTATCTACTACCAAATCTAGACTAATGTTCAGTAAAAAGTGCTCTAAGCTTTACATAGCCACCTCACAAATCTTTTAGTAAGATCTGCAAAAGCTACTGTAAAAACTGCTGTTGCCTTTGCACGAGGGTCAGCAACCTTTGGCACACGGCCTGTCAGGATAATCCATTGGCAGAGCATGAGACAGTTTGTTTATGTTGAGTGTCTGCAAGCATGGTCCCCCTCAGGTCTTGCTGGCTGCCACTTCCTGCAACTCCCACTGCTCAGGCACAGCGATGTGCCTGCAGATACTCAGGCCAGGTCTGCACTGGTGGAGAAAATCAATGAAAAATACCCCATTCCAGCTACATGAATTGTATAGCTTGAGTCTACGTATCTCGCACTGATTTTTCTCTGGTGGCCCCACAGTGGAAGGTCGACTGGAGAAACTCTATGGCCGACTTCCCTTACTCTTTGTAGCTGAAAGCAATTCTGGGGTTAATAGGGGCACCCTCAGCATTTGACTTAGTGAGTCCTTACCAGACCCACTAAATTGAATGCCAGAAGATTAACCTTCAGAGTGTCGGTCTTCCTAGAAGTGTTGATATGCCCTCAGTGTAAACAAACCATCTTGCAGCCTGCTAGTAGATTACCCTGGAAGGCCATGTGCCAAAAGCTGCCAACCCCTGCCCTAGTAGAATGGCCTCCCATAAGAAAAAGATATTTTTAAATGTGGTACCACGTGGGTGAAGTAATATATTTTATTTTTGATCAACTTCTGTTGGTGGGATAAGTAAGTTTTCAGTCTTAAATATGGGAAATGTACTCAGTGTCAGAGTTAAATACAAGGTAGAACAGATTGTTTATCATGTATAGTGAACACATTTCAAGGAACTATTCAAGGTGAAGTCATAGGGAAAGGGGAAAAATGCTGAGGATAGGATTTAAGTGGGTTATATATCAGATTTATGTCTCATTACAACAATCTGCCTGTAAAGTTCATTATTTTTAATATCTAGCAAAGTTATGAATTTAAGCTCCCATGCTCATTTTGCGGAGGTTTCCTTCGAGCATCAGGGCAGAGAGGTCAGCTATGGAGTGACTGCTGTGTGGAAAATGTTCACCCATGGGTGATAGTGTTTTTGTCTTCTGTCATTTTTCTGTGTGACTTAATTTGAGAATACAGTGATTAGTTTCATACACACAGTTTTTATTGGGGCATTTAGTGAACTGGATGAAATACACCATATATTATGATACACATGTATAGAACCTAAGGATCTTGAAAGGTGTATTGTGGGGTGGAGGTATTGATCATCATAAATGTAAAAAGAAATTAACTGGTTTTGCATCTGTTGCTCTGGGAGGGTCTGATGCTGCTTTGAGTTGTTTGCCCTCATCTGTGGGGAGCCTGCAGAGGTTGGGGGTTGTTTGAAGGTCAAAAGAGGAAGTTCAGGAAAGATTTCTTTCAGAATGTGGATTGTAATTGTTTGTTTCTCTGTTTGGGTTCTAGTGCGGTATGGTAAGTGACAACTAAAGGTGTGTGGTTGAAGGGGATTTTATCTCTGTATTGAAGCAGGTTATCTTGGGATATTTGGATGGTCTGTTCCATGATTCGATCCACCTAACTGTACTGTAGACCAGTCCTCAGAAAGCAGAAGATTCAAATTTATCCTTATATTGATGATTGGCTAACTCAAGATACCTCTTCTCAGCAAATTTCAGTTAGCATTTGGAAGACTGTTTATCTCTTTACCAATTTGGGACTTGCAATAAACAAGGGAAATCTGACTCCCATAAAGACAAAATAAAATTCATAGATGGCCTTCTGGATTCTATTTCATAGCAACCCAGATTTGAAATGACAATTTGAATCATTACCCAATTGTAAAGCAACCCTTGTACAAGAAGATCATGACTTAGTTTTAAGGCACAATACTTTATGTATATTCATCACTCTTCATAGTTTTCAAGACTGGCTGAAATCAGTTTACCCTTCAAAACAACTTCATTGAGAGTTGCTGTAAGGGTTAAGGAGCACATATAAGTCATCAGAGTCCAGGCCTGTGGTCAGAAGTTTTGAACCTCTTCAGTACTAGGGATGTTAACTATCATTTATTTGTGGAAATGTATAACCACTGGAAATTATAGCAGTTACACATTTACACGCAGGGAGGGGCAGGCAGTATCCAAAGCTTAGGGGAGCCATCTTTTCAGCCAGCTCCACGTGAACACTGGCTTCTGCCTGACCCTTCCCCCATCACTGCCTCTGATAAAGATGCAGCAGGGCAGGGGGCTCCATGGGAGCCCATACATATGAGGAGCCAGCTTGAGAACTGCTTCCTGCATGTACTGGCTCTTGCCTGCCCCTCTGAACCCTCGCACTGCTGCCTGTCTGTCAGAGGCAGCTGTGGGGAGAGGGGGGGAGGGGAAAGGGCAGTTGGTTCTGTGAAAGCCAGCTATGTCATCTCCCACCTGTCCTGTCCCCCTGTGCTGCTGGGGGAAGGTGGCTTTTGATGTCACCATGTAGTCAGTTACACGATTAACTGATGATCTTCATTTACATGGGTAAATCTTCTAGTTCTCTCATAATTCACAAATTCAAAATCAAAAAGTATTTTCACACATTGTCTAGTACCTGGTTGTATAAAATGTCCCTCTGGGTATGTCTACACTACCCCGCTAGTTCGAACTAGCGGGGGGTAATGTAGGCATACCGCACTTGCAAACGAAGCCCGGGATTTGAATTTCCCGGGCTTAATTTGCATAAGCGGGGCGCCGCCATTTTTAAAACCCCGCTGGTTCGAACCCCGTGCAGCGCGGCTACACGGGGCACGAACTAGGTAGTTCGAACTAGGCTTCCTAGTTCGAACTACCGTTACTCCTCATTTCACGAGGAAATTCAAATCCCGGGCTTCGTTTGCAAGTGCGGTATGCCTACATTACCCTCCTAGTTCGAACTAGGAGGGTAGTGTAGACATACCCTCTGAGAGTTCCACAGTCTGTCATTGAAAAGCTTGGGAATCGGCTCTTCTTAATTTTAGTGAACTAGCCATGACGTTGGTTATTGCCAAAGGATCTTTGTACTCCTACAGAGTCCTTTGCTTATTCCTTTCTGAATACAATTTAGAATGCTAAATATAGTAAGCTCACTTTATTTCTGTTTTAGAGATGGTTTTGGTTTAGAAACTATTCCCACTTTAAGAATAGGGAATATTGTTTGAATCAGTCTTACATCTAAAGCCAGAACGCACTTTTAAGTGGGCTGGCTATAAGTAAGAAGTTTGACATCATTGTAACTGATAAGTTCTCTTTTTTTTTTTTTTTGCTTTATTTTTGTGTTCTGAACAAATGGCAGATTTTTCAGAAGTAAAATCAATAACATTGAAAAGGAATGCATTTTTCTTTGTATAAATGCTAGTAGCCAATAGGGTCATTCCTCATGTTTGACCCTCATCTTACACTAACGCCAGTTTAGATTCTTTGGGTTCTTTTTTTTTTTTTCTCTGCTACTTGGCATCTGTGAATTTTTCTGTCTGGAATCTCTTTAAATTGCTCATTTTATTCTATGTTGAAGGTGGGGTTTTTTTAAGTATAAAAAGCTACCAAGTATAATTTTTTTCTTTTCATTTGCTTTTATTACTTAATTATTAAGTGATGTTTGCTATGTTTTGTCTTTTTGTTCCAGAATTTCTGGAAGGCCTGGGACAGGAAGTTAAATTATAACTTTTAGCTATACTGTCAGGACAATGATGTCACCAGAAAGGTCTTACAAGATCACTGAACTTGTCAGTGTTCTGTTTTTCTCCTTTAATAAGGAATTTGATTCATTGCAATATTTGATAATCACCTGGAGACTTTTGTCAGAGTATTAAAACTCTAGAGCCTGGTAGTGTCCTTTAAGCAACTTTTATTGTTGTTTCTTTCCAATCAAAATTGTGTATATGTCAAATTACAGTCCATTATTATCTTAATAAGAGTGTCACAATTTTTTGTTTCAACATTATAAAATATTCTTTGGTGTACAGTGTCCTTAAAAAAACTCTGTGGATTTCCACAGTAAAGTTATGTGTTTATCATATTATTACTGACATCTTATCTTGCTAATGGTTTTTAAATGGATTCTTGCTAACCCAGTTGAGGTATTATATCAATATTTTATTTGAATAGATAAATCTATATTTGAAAATGGAGAAGAAGCCTAATAAGAAGGAGGAACTGACACTAGTAAACAATGTTTTAAAACTTGCAACTAAACTCCTGAAGGTAAGGATGAAAATGGAGTACTGCAATATTATACAAGATCAAGGAAATCGTCTTAAGTCAACTTCCTGGTATTTTTGTAAGATGCAATGCATATGTTTCCTCTTTAAACCCACTTTTCCTAATAGTCTTTGTTGTCATCATGATGCTCTCTCTCATGTGTTTCCATCTGTTTTTCTTCTATCATCACTTCGGATTGCAAAAAGAAAATTATTAAAATCATTGCTAAGCTTCACTTTGTAACCAACAGCACATAGAGAGTACAGTGAGGGGAGCCTTTGGAACAGGCAGTACATTGCATCAAAGAAAGAGGAGTCTGCTGGCTTGCTTTGGTTTTTTTTAATCTCTGCTCTTTATAGGGTGATAAGCTGTCAATTACTGTAACATTAAACTCCTCTGTAAAGTTAATTCCCCTATATACTGTCACAGTTGCTAGTTAGTTGCTGTTTAAAATTAAAATCAACTTGTATGACAAGATTCTTGAGTATGTAAGCATAAGTGAGAGAAAAGTGATAAAGTTTTGTAGTCATGTTCATTTCTGTGCTCGTTGTGGAGTATTTCATTCAGTCAAATTTAAATGATCTCGTTATAAATGAGACTTTGATAAATGAGACTATGCATGTGTCAGCCGATGGTCAGGGCAGTGTGTGTTTGTATCAATATGGGTTTCAGTCAAGGGCACTCCTCTGCAGCCTCTAGGTCAACAATTGGCGTATCTCTGTTTACAGCCATCCAGGGTCACAGCAGCCAGCATATCCGGGCCTCCTGTCAAGGCTTCAAAGACTATGCTGATTTTACTGCTCTCTCTATGCCCTGTATGCTCCAGGCACCTAAGAGAGGGGCAAGCAAGATGGATTTTGCAAGCGGGGAGGGGCGGTTCCTGTCTGGCTACAGCATGTGCATAAAGTTACTCATATTTTTACAAGTGAACTCATGATATAGGTGTAAAATAGATGTGACTAAACCATCCTGTGGAGTGTTTTACTAAGTTTCCTTTTGTCAAATGAGCAATGGATTATGATTGAATGGTTGGAGGTGTTCATATGTCTGATTGTGCTTTTGGAAGTCATTCACCAGAATCTTCTGTAGAAGCCCTTGTATTCGAATGCACCTCAGTCATAAATCTCATAGATTTGTTCTCTGTGATTATGGAGACAGCTACTGGAGTAACGCTTCCCACTTGTTTCTGGAGGAAGGGTTATGCATTTTTTTTTCTATTCTGGTGAGATCTTAGAAATGCTGGTATAGCAGACTGTTTTTGACATCTCACTAGTGATTTGAGCCTCTACAGCTGTAACTGTACAACACAACCTGGCAGTATTTGAATGCATATATCAAATCTAGATCCATATGCTATTCAGTTTCAAGAAACTGTTTGGTGGGGTGCTAGTCACTACAACGAAGAACACCACTGAACTAAACATATTACAGTAGGTGTGATTAAGGAATTTCTACCTGTTTGTGAGAAAAAAATGATTTTACCTGTATTTTCTATTTTAAACTAAGTAATCTCTATCATACCAATAAAATCCTTCAAGTCTAAAAAAGGGTTTTTTAAGACTACTCACTCTGGAGAAGGA